CCAAAGTTGATAGCGGTCCCGTCGGAGGTGCCACGTTTGGAGAATGTCCCCCTTTCCTCCAGTTCTCTCCAAAAGTCACAATATGTTTTAAAGTTATTTATTTTCTCACTACCCGATCACATTGAGTACAACTCTCTAAAACGTCAATTTACGCGATTGTACATTCTTATATCAGCTCTAGTCTTAGTTTTTTGGTTACACAGGAATTTCCGGTCATTGTTGACTCTTACTGGTTCAATCACATGTACAATACAATGGTGTCAAGTTCGCCAGGCCCTATAGTCACGCGACTTGATAACAATACGTTTCCGACAATGTTTGACATCAACCATACCAGAGGTTGAATTTTTGTGTAGTCCCATACATTTACAATGAATACATGTCTTCCCCTATATCCATAATAGCCATCATTGTAGACACTATGAGATTGCTACATGTAACATAATAGAAATTATTATGAGGCTGGAGGAAAATCACAAATTTTTGGTCATTGAAACACCGAGATCTGCCCTGTTTTTTAATTATGTAACATCAAGTTTTGCATGTCCCAAGCAAAATAAAAAAATCAGCTCTCAACACTAAAGGATTCAATGAATCCAGGTTAGTAGTTACTCACATGCTTTACCATGCAGTCACATGAAATCTACAGTATTTAGCCCAAAACTTGAATGTGATCTTTGAAGAATGGTTGTAATATTTAAATTTAACAAAAATACTAGCATAAAATGCAACCGAAACCTTACCTAACTGTACTAGTTTCAACAGAAAAGCACAACTCCAATCACCAGTGCACTCCAAACCAATAAGGGAAGCCACGAGGCAATGTCAAATTCTCGTCTTGCTAAGCTTTCCAACATATCGAAGAAAATTTCACTAATACTTTGCACTTAAAAATACAACCAGAATCTTAATTTTTCACCAATCTGAAGTGTCCCAAAAGGTATCAAGGATAGCCCATGAAATTCTCAAACTTCAAGCATGGAAAACTTAACGATTGTCTCACAATTTTGCATTGCATCCCTCCCCTAGTTGGGAAGTGACACGCAGAAGACATGTTCACAACACACTTTGATTGGAAGAAATAACACCACATTCTATTGGTTATTAGGTGTGAGGACATAACTACAACAGAAGACACAACTGCAACGCTACATGCGTATTGTCAATTCCTCAGGGATGTCTTAAAAGTCTTCAATTTGCATAATGGCAACAGTTCAATATCAGAGAATCTATTTTCCTTGAAGAGTTTATCAAGTGTTGTCGAACAGGATGAGCAGCCCTGTTGCCTCTTGTATTCTTTAGTAAGCCCAGTTCTTTAATCAGATGAAATACTTGTGTTGGTAGGCAATTTGACTTTGGGTTGTAGTGGCATTGTTGACCAAGTTCAACAACACTCAGGAAAGCATATGAGAATTTCACATGAAGATAAAGCATAACACTAAGATATAGACTTCAAAAAGTAGTTATGACCTTTTCCTAAAGCTTCAGGAAATATATACAATAGATAAAAAGCGACATAAAAGTTATGAAATATCAACATGTAAAAAATTACGAAAGAACTCAACAAATGCTGCCAACTGTGGCACTTCCATAACACTGAATGAAAGATGCAAATATCAGATGACCATTGATGAGTTTGGTGATCCATATCTTTTTGCATAGTCTTATTCCAATACACCACAGAAGACATAGAATACTTAATGAACACAAGAAAATCAGTGGACTAATTACAACAGGGTAAATTGTTTTGGATATGCCTTTATGAACTGTGTGGCTTCTATGTGGGAGTATAGGGCCTGACTGGTTATATATTCATGATTGTTGTGAAGAATACGTTGTTGGTGCAGTATGACTGTCTTTGTGGTAACAGCTGGTTTCGCTACTTGTCAAGTACACTACGTTCAAGTTGGCAACATGTGCACTACTTAAATGCTGAATTTCCTACTAACTTCATCCTACCATTCTATCATTCTGCTTCCACAATCTTTCAGAACCAACATCTTGTTTTAAAGAAATCTGCTAGAGTTCCATAACAAGCCTATAAAGAATTGAGTTACAATCACAGAAATGAAGTAGGTCTCATCAAAACCACCCAGAGAATGCATGACTTAGTTAACCACTAAAAACTAGACCTTATCTACGAGTTCTTCTTGTATTTTTGCCTACAATAAGTGTCCATGAACTTTAAATATTAATACCTGAAAAATCACTCAATTCTGACTGGTCAAGATAACTGCAGTTTTCAGGTAATTCAATGCAGAAGAGGGTTAATTCAGAGCAAAGAAGTAACAAACCTTGCACCTTAAAGATGTGAAAATATAATTGGATATTATTGTTTTGATCGTATGCAGTTATTTTGACCAAACACACAATGTCACTTGCTGGGTTTGAATAAATTATTTTTGCACTTGATGCGCAAGCTTTGCTTCTGCATAATTATGTTAAGCTATACCTGCAATTTAGAATAAATTGAGCACGTGTAAATTTTTTCAAAGATTAAAAAATTGCAGTCACCCTATGGGCTCGTGCAATTTTGTGAGTCTTTAGAAAATTAACTTGTGCTTATATATTTCAAATTGCACTCAAAATCATGTGATTACCTGTACTAATACAATTAGTGACTAATCTTATCAAGCAGGAGGAATCAAAAAAAGTTACCTTGAGGTATTCAAACATAATATCCTCTCTTGAAAGTTGACTTTCAATGTTTCTTTTTAAGTCTATGCAAGTCCACTCTTTATTGAAAAGAAACTGGTGAATAGTCAGGCCCCTCTCTTTGAGTTTTACTTCGTTGACGTGACTTGGTAATTGCTTTGTATTAGGGTTTGAAATCATCACCAAGTCTTTGTGGAAGATTGTTTTACTGGGATGCCCATTCCTGTTTCCTCAGGACATGGAACTTGTAAAAGTACCTGCTGAAGTTCATAGTCTAGTTGCGGTCGCCCCTCCCTGTGTGATGCTTACTCCCAGAATGCATCACACAGAGAGCCTGCTTCGACATCATCACTGGCAATCTTAACTTTACCTCTACTCAACACACTTTATTCCATACTCAGTAAATTTCAGGAAACAAGGGAAACAAGGTATTGGCAACTAAGGTTGTTCATTTGAAGTAGGTCTTACTACAAACAATTTCATACTTTTTACTTTCCTTAGCTCACTTAATCTTCAGAGGAGCATGTTCATTCGCTATCTCAGAAAACAATTTTTCCCATAAGAAGACAGCAACATCGACGTTTTCGACTCCATTAACAACTGACCAGGGGACTTGATTAAGATCTTTTATAAACTCCGACTTATTATAATTCTTGAAAGACTGACATTCAAATTTCTTTGGTGGAATTTTTGGAATGCCGCCTTTCATCATGCAATAAACCAAGCTGTGATCGCTTAGAGTTGTATGGATAACGTCAGATTGAACAATCTTGTGTTCTCTATTTGTAAAAATAAGATCAATAAGGGTCTTTGAGTACTCTGTAATTCTTGTTGGTTCATTTATAAGCTGTTTCATGTCATTTACTGTGGCAAATGATTTCAGCAATCTGCTTGCAGAACTTTTCCCGTGTTGGTTAATGTTAAAGTCACCTATTAGTACTAATCCGTTCTTATCAAGGTCAATCTTTGCAAAAGAATTGGTTAGAGTTTCCAAAAAATTTGCTTCTTTCATGTTTGGGGGTTTATATGCAGCAGCAATCAGAAGAGGTTTACACTTTGGTCTGTTAATTTCAACCCATAACAGCTCCTCCTTATTCGTTGCTAGATCCTTCTTGACAGTGAAAGGAATATTATCCCATATATAAAACAAAACTCCACCACCATTTAATTTTGTCAATCAGTTGCGATCTCTTCGAACTAGTGTGTACCCTGGTATAGTGACTTCACAGTCAGATATGTTCGAGGAAAGCCAGGTTTCACTTCGTGTAGGCACATCAAAATTGTAAGTTGACATCAATTTGCAAACACCATCCAATTTATTTACAAGTCTATTGACATTTAGGTGGGCAATCTTGAGTCCTCTCACCAGATGAACTTTAGGAGCATCGATGGAATCGTTAGACATTGATGTTTTTGGGTCATAAGAAACATTTGAAGCAGAAAAGGGTCTGGAAACAAACAGTCCATACAAGACCAATATGCGGCCAAGTCGCTAATATCAAGATATTCACGATGATTCATGTGTATGCATTTCGCATGGAACCAGCAATCACATTCATCACATTGCACGGCTCTTTGATTTTTTCGGCAACCTTTAGTACACAGAGCACAAGGATCTGTTTCTGGGCCAGGATTTAAACTTACATCACCCGCAAGAACCACCAGGAACGAAGGGGCGAGTGAGATGTTTAGTAGTTTCAAGCCAGCTTGGAGTTTACACAATGGTGGCACATCATGAGTACATGGGCAGCGATGTAAACCTGAGTTTCGACCAGGAAAAAGCTTGACATCAGCGTTCGACGCAACAGCAAGTGACAGGGAAGGGTTTATAATCTTAACTCGTTGAACAGATGACTGTAGCAGTAATTCAACTACCATAAGCATTACTAGTGTTGCAGAGCGACTCAACAGTCGACCGCCCGCCATCACTTCTCTCTCTCTTTTACGGCCTTGCGTCCTCAATCCGTTATGGAAATGTTTCAAAGAAAGTCACTAAGACTGAGAAAGTACCAAGAAAGACTCCAAAGCTAAGTCACAGAACAAAGAATCGTAATGGCACGTTGTGAACATGAAAGAGGGAGTCCCCTCTTCCCCTCTTTGTTTGCAGTGGCTTAAAAGAGAGTGAAAACGTTTCTATAATCTGTGGCCAATTTTCACCAGTTGAATTCAAGGCCACCTGATAGCAAATTTTCTCAAGGCGGTATTACACTATATGCTCCATTCCTTAACCCTATAATTTCACCACAACCAGTGCCTGGACATTCAAATATTAAATACCATTTTCATCAAACACTTTCAGAGACATCATGTCACAGTACTTGTTACAAGAGTGCTTTGAATTGAATTCATAAAATTGCAATACAGGAAAGGTTGCCAGCACAGAAGTTGACCTCGTTTGAATCCAGTGATGCGTCATTAACAAGAAGATCTGTTGTTGCAATTTCTGGATCGTACAACTTAAAAAAGGAACCCTGAATATCAAGCAGCATAAGCTTCTTTTCAGATATCTGATAGCTGTAATGCACAAGGCATTGTGCCTTTTCATAAACCTCATCAAACTCCACTGATGCGGAGGGAATGTGGAAACCATTATTATTTACGTACTTGTGAAATTCGCCTTGAGCAAACTCTTCAATGGTAACTGGTTGCTTTTTAAACACAGCAAAAAAACTTTGACATACCCAAATTCTTGCACCAATCGAAGCAGGTGATCTTCTCTCATATTTAGTGCTGGAAACCAGCTATTACACGCTGAAACAGTTCAAAGCCCACAAGAATTTGGAGGCTTACAACAAGATGATTTCTGGCTTTATAACAAGCTTCAAGGCAAAATAATCAGTAATAAGTTTGTTGTGGTTGGAAAAATGCGACATTCACAGCGAATGACCAAAGCTCCATTACCTGTATGGATCACTGCCAGTAAAGAGGGAACGATCTTATCTGCTCACTTTCTAGGCTGCAAAGCCGGACTAGCGGAATCATCCTCTCATGTGGCAAGTGTTCTATTCTATGTGGCAAGTGTTCTATTTTATGTGGAGCATGGACAAGGATTAATGGTAAACTTGCTTGTACCCAAGTGAAGTGCACGTGGCTACTTCCTGCGCATGTAAATGAGTTGTTCCATACTCCAAAGTTAAAGACATAAATTTTAAATCGGCAAGGAGAATAAAAAATGAATTGGATAAAGAAATCAATGGTAAGAATTCCTGTTCTGCATCTCCAAATAGTGAAAGTTGCAGTAACTCCAACCACAAGAAGGTCGCAAAGGCAGAAATGCTTGGCTATCTGTCTGTTGAGGAGATGAACAGTCTTTTCGCAAAACTGACAAAGATAAACAGAAGGCTGCTATCCTCAGTTTAATTCCTTCATATTCAGTCTTTCGTTCGAAAAAGTTGTCTGATACCTACCTTGCTAGACCTTTTTGATTCTGAGAACATCAAACTGACATTTCCAGATTAAATGAAAAAGTGCTTAGAAACTGGGATATCAATTTCCGGTGAGGAGCTAAAAGCTATCTAAAAAGATACAAGAGATCAATCAAGCGGAGTTGCATTTTTCCGATATAGAGCTGGACGTATTGGAGCTTCTCAGAGCTTCTCAGTTGCTCACACAAATCCTGCCCAACCAGCACAGACCCTCATCAAGTCCATTTGTTACCTCCAGTTGTTTAAATTTAACAACAGTGCAGTTACCGTATTTCTTCACCCATAAGCCGAGCAATTTTTTCAGTTTTCGACCCAAAATTTTGGGAGATTTTTCACGAACAACAGGGTTCGGCTTGTAGTCGAGGGTTTTAGATTTTAACTTGTAGTCAATGAAGCAGAAGTAGTAAAACGCAACAAAAATAACTTCTGAATATTGGTTATTCACTTTTATGAAATTGGTGGAGCCGTTTGATGGATATGAGCAAGGGCTTTCAACCCAATGGTTTACTCACCATCCGTTTTGTTTTTCACTGTCTGTCTTGAACTTGTTCTCTTCCATGTCTTCATCATCTACTTCTGGGGTTTCCTCAGAGTAGACCACGTCATCCACTGTGCCATCCAAGGTCTTGAAGGATTTGATGACCATCTCTTTGGGTATCTCTGCCCATGCTTCCTTGATCCACCAGAGGACAAGATTTCTGCTTGGGGCTTTCTTCTTCCCAGCTGGGGTAAACTAAAATGGCCCCAATGTCACCCATGCCAAGTACTTTTGGCACACATTATCTTTAAATGGCTTGTTTAGGCACTCAGCCAAGGGCTGTACAACCGTGGTTAGGCCTCCAGGGATAACTGCGATGTCAATGTTTTGCTGCTTCAGGTCATCTTTCACGGAATCGGCCAAGTGAGCTCAGAATGAGTCCCACACCAAAAGGGAATGCTCAGCATTCTCTGTCGAATCCATTCTCCGATGCCCTGTTCATCCATCCACCCTTTCTTATGGGAGGAAACACGAAGAGGCTGCGGCACAACCAGATCTCTTGGTGTACGGACGCCTTTGAAGATGACTTTCGGGGGCACCTTTGCTCCATTGGCGGCAACAGCAAGAACAACGGTGAAGCTCTGCTTTTCTGCTCTGCAAGATTTTACTGACACTTTTTGGCTCCCACTGAATTCCAGTGTTCGGTTCGAGGGCAGCTCAAAATGCATGGGTGTCTCATCCATATTGTAGATGCAGGATAAAGGGTAGTTGCTGCGTTTTCTTGCTGCAATGATGAAGTGATGAAACGGCACAATGTTCTCTTTGAGGTCGGTGGGCAATCGCTGGGCCAGAGTTGTTTTTTTTTGCATGCTGACCGAGTGGCGTCGTTTCCATTTCTCATACCATCCACGGGAAGCTTTGAAAGAAGGATCATCAAAGAGCTCTTTAGCTTTAGGGCAAAGCATCAATCCGCTCACAGCAATACCTACGAAAAATAAGAAAATAAGAATCTTATTTTGATGCGAGATAACCGTAGATTCGTGACTGCAGCACTCTTTTCGTGACATGTTATGAAATTGTCATGACAAGACCATATTTCTGACCAATCAAATTCTCTGTTTCCCACGCACTGAAAGACGATATCATTCAACTCTTCAAAAACTCTTAAAATTTCAGATAAAAAGAGTAAATACCAACCTTGTTCTCTTTGCTGTGAAAACCACTCCATCACTTGCTGGTCTAGTTTGGGATATTTTGGAGTGAAATGGCCCATCGTCGCACGTTTTGCAGACATCTTCAGCTCACCAGAAAGAATGGTCGCCTGGTCTCTTCTCCAGCGTTGTACCATGGACTTGCTTAGTCCATATTCTCGAGTGATTTCCGAGTTGTTTTCTGCCGCTTCAGCTTCCGCGATAACTTTTACCTTGAAAGCCATACTATACAAGGAACGGCATGCTTTAGGCATAATGATAAAACATAACAGCAATGAAAGGGATACTCAATCGATTGATACTTTGAAACATTTAACTGAGATTGTGCAAGGGACAAAGAACGCGCCTTCACAACACAAGGGTTCTTGAACACAAGGTTTAATAATCGAGAGTTGCACACTCAGCATATTTTCTTAACAACACAACAGGATCAGAATTGGAGTCTCATCTTTGGCTAACAAGCTTCACCTCCCAAGTAAAAACCTACAAAACAAACACTTAATCACTGTTGGAACAGGATTTGGAAATACACGAGCTCCTAAGATTCACCATACGATGAGAAACTCCCGGCGACCAGCGCGTTACAAAGCACATGGTTTCTTTCTCACTACACGACGACACTGAGACGTGCTCACTGAGCATGCTGGGAGTATAAATTACAAAAATGGAATGGAATGGACTTAGGAAAACAAAATTGTTCTCTTGTTGAGGATTGGCCTCAACAGAGATTGTTGTTGTGGTTGATCTGTTGTCACGTGGTAGTACTTATACACATTGTTGGATTAACTGATATTCATATCTCTTCATTGGTTCACTTTTTTTTCTTTTGTGTTTATTGTAATTCATTAGGTTTTGTGTTTAGTGAGTCAATTTCTTATGTTTTCCGTGAGGTTCACTTGCTCAAATGGCCAGTTACAATCAATAAGTTTGTTCTCTTGAACAAGACCACGGCCCAAGATAGCGTGTACGTGGGACTATCGAGTAATTGACTATCCCACACTTACAATTATCACGGTCTGACGGCCAACAAATGGTTTCGAGGTGGGGGGGCGGGTGGACACCCTTCTGCAACAAATAAGCGCCATGCTCAACTCCAACGAACGAAATAGACGATTCCTTCCAACTCTCCTTCACGCACGTGTGCGCGCCTCCGATGGGTTCCGAAAGCAAAAACAAGTTGAGACCCAGCCATTCCGCCTTGACGTCCTTCAAGAAAAAGAAGCTGTCTGTGCTCCTCATTAAGAATGGAGACAAGCTTTGTTGCGCCAGAGCCATCATCACTGCCAAAGCCAGAGTTGACCAACACCCCAACTGGGACGGGTTCAAAAGAGGCAGAAGGATCCAAGCAGAACATGCAGTAGACCTTCATCACGAAACAAGAGTTCCCCGAGGTCCGTGTGGGTACGACGAACTCCGAGCCTTCCCTCTTGCTCCTTCTCTCTACGACTATCAAATTCTTCTCTGCAATGCCACGCGCAGGTATGTCGTGACGTCATTTGGCCCACCTTCACTAAAGCAGCTTGTCCTCCTCTATGACGATGGCCATTACAACGTCATCACTTCTCTACCCGGATTCTTTGGCACCTCCTACTTCTGCGTGAGGTGTCTCAAACCCTACAACAACCAAGGTCACCACGCTTGCGACAACAACCCAGACCACTGCAGTGCCTATCTCCAGACTGGATGTCTGGATTACACCGAGGCTCAATGCCGAAGTCTTCCGGTGACGCAGACCTGCGATTCATGTAGATGGACATTCTGTGGGACAGCGTGTTTCACCAATCACGTCTCTAAGACACAGACTGGGAAGACCGCAGATCACCAGCAACTGAGCGTCTGTACAAATCGTAGGAAGTGCGGCAACTGTCACAAACTCCTTGTGGGTCGCAAACAGCAACAAGAACACCTGTGTGGCTACATCACGTGTCCTTCATGTCACCATTACATCAAAGCCTTGTCGCAACGGTGCTTCATTCAAGTGGCTAAGCCTCCCGAGGAAGAACGGGGAGAACGTCACGTCAAACGAAGACCTGGTTGTCGTCTGTGTGATGCTGCTGCCGGCTTGGCCACTGTGCATTCCAACGAGGACGATGTTCCATCCACTTCTCTTCTTCCTTCACCTCCTGCGGACGGTGTCGACCTCAATGATGAAAAACCTCCGTTACACGTATTCTTCAACGTGGAGGCCATGCACGACACGGGACGTCACGTTTGGAATCTTGTCATGGCCAAAACTGAGAATGACGAGCATCCAGTCCGCTTCCAGGGAGGCTCATGCATGCGCGACTTCTCAAACTCCTCAAGCAGGGGTGTCTCTCCTTCAAGTCTGTATTCGAGCCTCTGGCTCGATTCAATCCCTTTTCCCACATCACCATCGCCTCTGCTTGCAACCAGGATCTCCAACAACAACATCGCCAACAAACCGCTCCATGGGTGGCACTTGAACACCAATCATTCTCGCGTCGCCCTGGAATGGCTCCACTGGCAACAGCACCAGTTACCAGATGAAGACGATTACATCCAACATGCAGGCAATTCTGGCAAGTACAAGATTCCTCATTCCCGGTACACGGTAGACGGATACCATGAGAAAACCAACACTGTCTACGACACTGTCCAGTCTGCTATTCCAATCGCAACGAATCCCACTGCCGCCTTGACAATAGGTGCTTTGACGACGTGTACCGTTGCATGCAGGTCAAACTCGACTTACTGTGTAATCGAGGTTTCAGGGTAGTCGAAATTTGGGAGTGTCAATGGGAAAAACTGAAACGAGAACGCGAAGATGTTTGCGCGTTCATTGGTGCCCTAAGTCTCTCGGCCCCTCTAAATCTTGGGGATGCGTTCTTCGGAGGTCGACTCTACCACAAGGTAGACAAGACTCGGGGGGAAAAGATTCGTTACTACGATGTCATGTCTCTGTACCCATGAGTCAACAAGAATGGTGAGTACCCTCTGGGACATCCCGAGATCATCTCTCAACCCGGTCATACAGACCTTTCTCATTATTTTGGCTTAGCAAAATGCATGATGCTTCCACCTTATGGTCTCTTCCATCCCGTGCTACCTTACCGTCATGCCGGCAAACTCACCTTTCCGCTCTGTGCCTCCTGCATGACCAAGGAAATATCCAAACTCTTTCTGGAGCGTACTCCTGTCTGTACTTGCACGGATTTGGAACGCGTACGATTTGCGTACACGAAGTGTGGCATTTCCCGACCACTCGCAGAGGGCTCTTCAAAGACTACGTGATCACGTGGCTCAAGATCAATGAAGAGGCCAGCGGGTAGCCGAGTCACATGGGCAATGATCTCCTGAAACTTCAAGGACACTTGGATGATTACAGAGACAAGGAGGGGATCAAATTGGACCCGGAAAAGATGGAGAAAAATCCCGGACTGTGCACGCTGGCCAAGATGATGTTAAAGTCCATGTGGAGTAAATTTGGTCAGCGTACCAACAAGATGCAAGTCCGGGAATTTGAATTCTGTAACAGCAACACCCTCCAAATCAAGTACGTTGGTATACAATCAGACGATCGCGTAGAAGAACAGTACACTTTACAAGAGGAAGACGAATCCATCTTGCCCAACCTGAACATATTCGTGGCCTGTTTCACGACCTGTTGGGCTTGTTTTAAACTCTATGACACTGTCAACATCTTACAAGAGCGAGTACTGCATAAAGACACGGACTCAGTGGTGTTCCTTTCCGCCCAGGGAATGCCCAAGCCACCACTGGGAGATTATCTGGGAGACTTTAAGGACGAATTGCCGCCAGACGACTATATAGTGGAATTTGCCTCCGGAGGTCCAAAAAACTACGGGTACAAGACTCACAAAGGTAAAGAGGACTGTAAAGTCCGAGGCATCACACTCAATAGTCTGGGGAAGGGATATGTCAATTTTGAAGTCCTCAAAAACAACGTGCTGGAAGACTTGACTTCCCCATTGGAGTCTGGTGAAGCGCGCATCACTGCCGTGCCCATTCCATTCAAAATTGTGAGGAACACCCAAGAATACCAATTGTCCACCACGGCCCAACGAAAAAAATACAAGTTGGTCTACAACAAGCACATGGTGAATCCTCATACCTTCCAAACCTTCCCGTATGGGTATGAGCCGTGGACGAAAGAGGACACTCATGTGACTGAACTGCTCACTTCTCTCTAACTCCTATTCTGACAGTCACCCAGCTTCATCTCACCTCTTTTTACAAAAAAAAGAAAAAAAAATGTAAATAGTGTAAATAGTCCCAGCGACAATGAGTCGAGATGACTACTCGATGATACCCACCCGCATCTTTCGTAGCAATCAGGGAATCAAAACACAAGTCGAAGGTAACCAACCCCTCGAGGCATGCCCCATTGCCACGGGAGATACGGGTTTAATGCTCTCACACGAGAGGGGGACTGGGAAGTCATTTTTAAGAACTACGCATGTGCATTTTTTAGGTTACCACATGGATTGGAAAGATCGAAACGTGACAGATATATATTCATTCGAACCCACTAGGTTGTTAGGGTGATAGTGATGACGTCATAGGATCAAAAAGTCAATACTTCTAACTAGAATTGATGACGTCATAGGTCAGGTTGTTATGGTGATAGTGATGACGTCATAGGATCAAAAAATCAATTCTCCTACCTAGAATTGATGACGTCGTCATTTACGTCATAGGTCAGGTTGGGAGAATTCGAAAAAATCAGCCCTGAGTGAGCGGAAACCACTACTTTCATACATTACTAATATGCACATTAAGGTTAAGACCACAATCTATTGTTACACCTAGAAGCTTCAAATTTTCTGATTTCATTATATCCTTGCCATCAATAGTTGTACACATTTTGTCACTGTTTCCTTACTAGGAACTGGTTAGATCAAATAACCACCACAAACCATATAATATCAAGCCAAGCTTTGATATTACTTGATCTAAAAGAAATACATTTATAATTCGCAATCAGAACAAATGCAAAGCAAGTCTTAAGCTTGTAGCTAAATTAAGAAACTTCAATGTAAGCAGATTTACAGACAGAAAAAAATAACTAAATAACTAATTTTTCACTTCAATTCCGCTGAAAAAACTTACCTGAAATATAATAATCTAACACTTTTAAATCAATCTATAGAATTAATGTCAATCACAGTTCTTGTCATCAAGTAAATCTATCAACAAGAGGCAATGCCTATTTGATAAACAAAACATTCTCCGCCCCAATAAGGGCATAGTCTTTATCTTTCTTGAAGTTAGCCTAACTTTATTTAGTCTTATACCTCAGCAGGATCTATAACAGCAGTCTTGGTGACTGGGCGGCTGTACTCTCCAGCTGTTTTTACTTTGACATTGTGGACTTGACCTTCTGTCCCAGGATACACCTTGATTACTCTGCCGATGGTCCATTTACTGCAAATAGCATTGTTTTCCGCCATGACTACAATATCATCAACTTCTACATTTTGCCTTTCTGTGTGCCATGCCTTCCTTGTCACTACTGCTGGTAGTATGTCTCTGCTCCAACATTTCCAGAAAGAGTCCACAATCTTCTGCACAAATTCTACACTGTGTCGCGGGGTTTTCATGTGATGGAATGGGCCTTGAGGAACTTCTGGTGCTGCTCCTACAAGAAGCATGTCTTTCAAGCATAAATATTTCCCATTGTTCACATCATTTGGAATGCGGCCAATGGGGTGTTGATTTACAAGATTTCCAACTTCTACAGTGCTCGAAATTAGGAAAAAATCCAGGTTGCCCTTAACCCTTTCACCACCAGTCGTTTTTTGCAGAAAACAGCCCTGAACACCAGATGTTTTTGGTACTGTTTGCCGAGATTACGTACATTACTTTAATTGCAATTTTCATGGAGAAGGAAGCATTTTTGCAAAAAAGAACCCCATATGATTTTATTTGTTATAAAATTCTCTTTCAGGTAATTCTATTTACATTTTTAAAGGATGAAAACTGACTGAACATGAACCTCTCAAAGTTGAGATAACCTACGATTTTGAAAAAAAAAACATATGGTCCTTCTTGAAATGTGTACAAACCCACCAAAATTTGTCCAACAATATTCTAAAATGAAAAAATGCTTTTCATAGGACAACCTTAGATGAAAAAAGCAATTTATCTTACAACAAAAGTCATATTTTTACACTAAAACTCACCCGACTTCATTTGCAAAAAAGTCATGTTGTCATTGCGCAACATCTTTTGAGTAAAAAAACTTTAAATTTACCCATTGATTTGTGAGTTTTTACTAGCACTTAGAAATAGTTTTTGTCTCTGTAACAAATGAATTCTGAAATAAAACCTGTTCTTCTATTGAGTTACTGATGTAGTGCCTCTCATTTATTGTCCCTAGCTAGCAAAGTTTTCTTTAGTATGGTAGTCATAGAAGCAATTTGATCCTCCTTCTCCAATGCACAGGTAAACATTGCAGTGGCTGCACTTGAAAGTTGTCTTGTGTCTTGGAGAAGGGTTGTCAGGATTTGCTTTCTTTGAAGAGAAGTGCTTTCTTTCACAGACCACACAACGATGATTCTTGCCCTCCCCTTTGAAGGGAAAATGGATTCCAACATTACTGAGACGTTCAGGCACTGGTGTGTCTGCACTCCTCTTTCTTTTGTTAGAGGCAGTTGATTTGTGTTGCTGTGGGAAGTTGCCAACCAACTGCACACAAAGGTCTTCCTTGAAAGACAATAGATCCCTTTTCCTTCTTCCTCTTGGAGTTTCTGGGCGCTTGAACCCCTCAAGAATGTAAGCATTGTAAATGCTTAGAAGGACCATCTTCAGGAAAATGCGAAGGTACCACCTCTTCTGTTTCTTTGACTTATTGACTGCTGTCATTTGGTCTGAGAGATCGACTCCTCCCATAAAGTTATTGTAGGACTTGACAATTCCTGGCCTGTAAATCTTCTTGGTAACCCAGCGTCCTCGTTGCTTGACCCTTCTACACACCACGTCACTTTCATTTCTGACTTCTTCTGATTCAGCCCCAGAGTTGTCATCTTCGACCCAATCTGGTACCACTGGTGGGGAATGTATTGTAGTTAGAAAATAGACATCTTTTTTGTCTTTCCACCTCAAAGCTGTCATTCCTTGTTCCTTTGCAGTAAGCCATGCCACTTCTCCTCGTTTCCTGAGAACAGCTCTTTTCAATTGTTCATGCGGGTAGCCCTTGCGAGGTCTTGCTGTCCCAGCAGTAAGAATTCCCCCTTGTCCTCAACAAAAGGAAAAGAATTGGGCTGGTGTAAAAAATTGTCAACATAAAGGTGATGGTTTGTATTGTGCAAATCTGCAACCAAATCCATGACAATCTTACCGGTCTTTCCGATGTTACCAGCCTCTCTGTCGTCCTTCCCAGCATAGATAGAGAAATTCTTGCAATAGCCAGTCTTGGAATCACAGAGTTGAAAGAATTTCACTCCAAATTTGATTGGCTTATCTGGCATTCTCACCTTTATGGCTAACCTCCCTTTGAAAGGAACCATAGCTTCATCAATGGAGATTTCACGGGAGCAGTTAAAAATTTCCTTGAATTTCTGAACAATATCATGATAAATACCTCTCACTTTATATAAGGGGTCTTGCTTTTCTTCTTCTGTTTGTTCGTGGTCTGGGTCGCAGAAGAATATGTACGATTTTAACTGGAAGAAACGTTTTCGAGATCGCAAAATGTTTTTCACTCCTGGAATGTGAAATAGCCTTGCTTCTGCAGATGACAGGAAGTAGCGTTCGTCGCGTGGGACAACAATAATGTCATTCGAAATGATCAACATTGCAATAAATGCCTTTAACTCTTCGGATGTGACAGGTTGCCAATTTGGTACTTCTTTCTTCTGAGCATTCTTGTTTGTAAATTCCACAATTTTACCGATGATTTCCTCGGTGAAAAACAACGAGAAAAAGTCAAAAGCCTTACCAGTATCAGGTAAGTTTATTGTCGGACCAGGTGTTAACGTGAACGGTTGCATGTCTACAACGAAGCGCTGGTTCTCCCACTTCATGTTTCCGGGCAAATCGAAATTAAAACCAGCGAAATCCTCTTCCTCTTCATCGCTATCGAACAGCTCTTCAAGGACATCGTCATCTTGGAAAGAATATTCGCTTGAAGATGATAAATCTGATCCAGAATTGTCGCTCTCGTCACCCGAAGACATTTAAAAATGGCGAAGTTCGAATTTTTATCTCGTTGAACTTTCAAAACAAAATATCTCGAAAACTTTGTATGAAACCGCGTGGTGATAAAAACACGATTGCATTACTCAAACCCTCCCTAGGAAAATGGCAATATCTGGGCCCCCCAATTGCTAAAAAAAGCCTGGTTACAGAGCGGTAATGTATGTAAATTTATTTGGCCGCTAAAGGGGCCACGAGTGTTGCAGTACCTTTTTGTCAGTGGCCTCTAAAGAGGCCACCGGTGGTGAAAGGGTTAAGGAAAATGCTGGACAACCAAGGCCCTGACTTTGGTTGCCCTTAACATTTTCTAAGCTTTAATAAATGTGAAGACTGTTTAGTGTCACAAATTCGTAATACTTGTTTCAGTTGTTTGACAGGGTTAGATCACTTTACTTCACTAACAGCTTTAAATTTCTTTTTTACATGTACATCATTGTTAAAACACTTGTTGTAGACACCCATTGTCTCTACTTCATGATCAAGGACAACTGAATACTTTGATATGCATTGAACTGTATTAGTATTCCATGTAAATTGGCAAACAAACTTCCATCACGCCAAGCGAATGAACAGGAACAAACAAATAAACTAGCTAACCAATGATTAAGCAATGAACAATTCACTGAAATAAATTCAATACACTAAAGTTAGGAAATAATATGGCAAACAGAGAACTGGCAAACAAAATTGACAGATATATGATGTAGTTACAAGTTTTTCGTGCCTAGATCATGGAAAAACCGAATAAGCTCGAAAACGCAAATTACAAAACATGCCTTGTGCTTTTATCACACTCAACATCTCAAAATGCAGAAAACAGTCAATGAGGCCAGTGGCTCACTGTATTTAAGCTGTTGTAAAGTGTACTACCTGAAGCCAACACTTGTGGTACATGCTGTTCAAAGCAAGGCCATTTAATGTCTTTGATTGTAAGATAATGAAAACTGTAACATAGTTATAACAGTAAACTCACAGCAAACTTCCGTTAAACGCTTAATAAGTAATGTTTACTTAATAATTCACATTTACTTAATAATTCATCAGCCTCTTAAGGATAGTTTATTCATCATCATCACTCTCAGACTCCAGCCCACTGTCACTGTCATCCACTTGGTTCTGCCATTGGAAAATCCAAAAGAGGAGGATGACACTGTGATTTTTCGTCATTGTTTAAGAATGGTCTCCATAGGGTCATAACTTTCAATGGGTGCTGACTCAAGCTGAATCACTGTAAAATCGCAAAGTGAACTCTCCTTAAGACTGTTTCGAATGTCAGTTTTGATGTTTTTTATAAGGTTTAATCCTCTCTCACACTCTGCGCTGGATGAGGGAAGGCACAAGAGGAGGTCAACAACTGCCAGGATGTTTCCATAATGTGATTTCCACCTACGATTTATCTCTGGCCATATAAGATTCTTCACTTCTTCTGGTTCACTATACAGGTTATTCTTCAGCAGTGTCCACTCCAACTCCACCGAGTTTACAGCAACTCCTGCTCTCAGCAAAGATCCCTCATAGTGTTTCACAACATAGGTGACTTCCTTGTCACCAAATTTGTCCTTCTTGTCTTTTGATGGCCACAAAGCATGATCACAATGGTGGTAGCCTTGATCACCCCAGTATCAGTGTTGGAGAACCTTTTCTTCAAGTTGTCTTCAAGACTTGTTAGAAGATTTGATTTAGAACTTCTGAACTGTACAATGCTGCCTGTGGCTTCTTGACAGAGGGCACCAGACTTAACCTTCACCAGGTATGGCCCATCTTTAGTCTTGTGCTTGTTCAGCACTGAAAGGACATTGGTCAAAGTTCAGTGAATATCAGCGGCAGTTCCATCCTTCCTTTTAAATACCTGGGACATCACACTGGGAGCAGACACAACATCATGCAACAGCGCAGCAAACTGCATTATATCCCTCTTAGTGAGAAACTTAAGAAAGCATTGCACCTTGCATTTGGCAGTTGCAAACACTTTCAAGCTATTTTCAAGCTGTTGCAAGTGTAGCAATAGTGCCTCAGCCCCTGAAAAGATTTGTTAGGGCTCTCTGAACATGGGCCACCCACCGCATCCCATTAACCCGAGATGGTATGACGACTTTCTTGCCCAGGGCCTTAAAGCTACTTCACAGATTATTGCAGTTAAGTGGGCTATAGTGATAGAAATAGTAAGGGCCTTAAAGCTACTTCGCAGATTACTGCAGTTAAGTGGGCTGTTGTGATAGAAATAGTAAAGGCCTATTAGGAGCGTGACCACCTTTTCTCCAAGTGCAACCTTGGTAAGTGACTCTTTATACGCTAGTTCAAGTCTCTGACCAAAACAATGAATGCTAACAATGCAAGCGTTCGTTTCTTTCAATAAAGCTGCAACACCCTTTGGTACACCCGTCATAACAGATGCCCCATTGAAATCTAAAACAACAACTTTCTGAAGCAGCTCATCGCATTTCAACCCAGTAACCTGAACTGCATGTTCAATTGTATTCAAAATTCCTTTGGCATCCACCTTTTCTGTTGACATACAGCCTATGAACTTAACTGAAATGGTACCCTGCTTACAAACTCTTACATAGACAATCTCATTCTCAGTCAATGACAAATCAGTAGCGCCACCACTTAAAAGAGATGAAAACTTGCTTTCTTAAGATAAGATTTATTAGTTTTCCACTAAATGGGTTTTAAAAACTAATTACAATCAATGTAAAATACATTAAAATTAAGGATCTAAAATTCTAATAGATGTTAAAATTTATCGTATTGCTAATTAAAAACTACTATGAAATTCCTTTAAATGTCTCTTGAAGATTGGAAAATTATCACATTCTCTTATTTCACATGGAAGAGAATTCCAGAAACTCATTGCATGGTATAAAAAAAGTGCGTTGCCCATAAGCTGACTTATAAGCTGGGGTATTCAAGTTATTCTTATATCTAGTATTATGGTCATGAACGCAAGCATGTGTCTTAAATCTATGACAAAGGTAGCTAGGGGCTAACCCCTTAACACATTTAAATGCTAAAACTCCAAGTGTGTATTTAAGAAAACTGGTTACGGGGAGCCACCTTAGCTCTCTTAATACCGGTGTTATATGGTCAAATTTCTGCTTTCCAGTAATGATTCTACAAGCAAAATTCTGAACTTTCCGCAGCTTCGAGATATTTTTCTTTGAAGTGTTAGACCACACTGGAGAACAGTAGTATAACTTACTAAACACTAACCCGTTCTAATGTCCTAGCATCAAACAGATGCTTCACCCTATTAATCTGACATAAACTACCTATGCACGAGGACACTGTTTGGGTGACATGTTCATCATAGCTTAGAGTACTATCTGCCTGGAGGCCAAGGTCCCGAGCAGAAGGAGATGGAGTGACCTTCTTTCCAAGAAGGGTGACATGAAAATCAGCAGGCAGCCTCTGAAGCATCTGACATGTGCCCAACACCAGCAGCTTGGTTTTCTCTGGGTTTATTAGAAGGCTGTTATAACAGCACCAGCTTGCGATTTTTTTTAAGTCATTGTTGATTTGTTGAATCATATTACTAGCCTCAGCAACTGGAAATGAAAGGTATAACTTGGAATAATCAACATATGATTCCAGAGAACACACGTCTGGTATAGAAGGAATGTTGTTGAGGTAGATAGTAAACAAGGCGGGTCCCAAGATTGAACCTTGTGGGACTCCATGTGAGATACCCTGCAAGCTTGAGGTCTCAGCTCCAATCCTGACACATTGCAGCTGTTCAGAAAGGTAGCTCTTGAACCAATCCAGAGATGCACGAGAAGCACCCAGTGCCTGTAGTTTTGCAAGGAGGGTTACATGATCTATGCTGTCGAATGCTTTCGACAAGTCCAGAAGTACCACAAGTGTGACTTTCTTTGCATCCATAGCCTCCAGTGCCTTGTCCATGATCATGACGTTAAGGGTTTCACATGAATGAAGCTTCTTGTTACCACTTTGGTGTTTGCTAAGGTACCTTTTGGTGGTCACGCATGTCATTAATTGATTCAGAGCAACACGCTCACAAATCTTTGATGAGATATTTCATTTTCTTCTGGCATTTCTCTCCAGAGCGAGTGGTACCAAACCTTCGATTAATCTCCCGCGCAATTTCTTCCCAAATCTTCTGCATGTCTTTGCTTTCCAAACGTTCATGTCGATCAGTCCAAAGGTTTATAAGTGCTTTCTGCTCTTCGTTTGTCCATTTATCGTACTGCTTTCTATTGGACTGAGCAGCATCTTCCGCTTCCACATCTAGGGCATCGTTCACAGTTCCGTCGGTCGAACCATTCGGGCTATTGCTCGATGTTGTTGTTGGGCTGATGGATTGGCTAGCTGGGTAGCTTTTAAACAGCAGAGCTCTTGATCACTGGTGGAAGGAAAACTTCCGCGTGTCTCGGGCTACTTTTGAGTATATCTGTAGGCTGGTAGGGCCAGCAATAGCGCTACAAAACACTAGAATGCATGACGCTCCTCCAGTTGAAAAGCAAGTGGCTGTGAGCTTCACTGGCGAGTGCTACCGCTCATGTGGACTGATGATCGATCTGGCAAAACCTACAGTGGTTAAGTGCTGTCATGAGTTTGTAGAAGTAATTTGCCGTCTGCAGGGATGACTTCATAAAGTTTCCTTCTACAAGGGCAGAAATAAGCAGGAAAATTGAAGGTTTCTTTGAGAAGAGCAAGGTTCCGAATGTTGTTGCAGCGATTGACGGTAGTCACATTCCTATAAAAGCACCAAAAGAGAATCACGAGGACTACTTTAACCGGAAACATTTTTACAGTTATTTAGTACATGGGATTGTTGACTCTTCGAGACTCTTTTTATCTGTTGCCACTGGGTTTCCCAGGGGTCTGCATGATTCTTGAATGCTGCGACTAAGTGATGTGTACTGGGCTGCCGAAAATAAGGACATTCTCATGGAACCTACCCTGGATTTGGCGGGAACTGTAACTTGCCCACTTGTGCTGGGAGATTCAGCGTACCCATTGAAGACCTGGCTTCTACCGGTTATCAAAGATAATGGAGCCCTTAACCGAGACCAGAAGAAGTTCATTAAGGAACTCTCTAAAGCACGAATAGTTTCTGAGCATGCGTTTGGTTTGTTAAAGGGTAGGTGGAGAGCACTACTGAAGCGCTTGGATGAGGATCATTGGAGGATCCCAAACACCATCATAGCATGCTGTGTACTTCACAACATTTGTATTATTCGAGGGGAAGAATTTGATGGAGATGTGGAGGACGATAGCGATGATGACAATGATGATGACAATGGAGTTCCCAGCCAGGCCGCAAACGGTGTTCGACTGGCTGTAATTGAATTTGTAGCAAATCAATAATTTTTTTTTCAGTGATGCTCTCTGTTCTGTAATAAAATAAGGTAGTATGGACACTAGTGTAAAGGCCTTCCATAGTAAACACCTCATGAACAGCCACCGAAAATGAAAACAGAGGGGCCCGGTTTACTTGCAAGTAACTGATCAACGCTAGACCATGTTTCTGTTGTTGGCCCTTTATAATTTCAATATTGTAAAACCACTCCCCTGATTACCCTTTTCTCACCATTTAATCACAACGTTTGATTGTAAAACTCTATTTTTATTAAAATTTTCATTAAAAGAGCAAAACTGAATTCCCAGGTTTAATAATAATCATACAAGCTTTCATGTTTCTTGTGAATGTTCTGAACTATAACTGACGCAAAACTGTAACATGGCCATGCCTAGTGGCAGCATTTAAGAAATTATGTGAACATTAAAATATAGAAAAAATATCACATGAATTTTCCTCGTAACACTTTAATCTATTAATAAAAAAAAGTGAGAGTTCGTTTGTCGTATTGTGTATAAAATGGTTTAAAATTTACGTTCAATGTCCTTTAAAACAGAAAACTACAACTTGAACAATTGATTTTTTAGTTGTGTATACTGTAAAGAAAAAAATTCTTTATTTTTTTGAAGAGAAAATTTCGCCCAGTTTGCCCAAGACAGAAAGAGTAAATTCCTGGAGCCTTTGTTGAAAGTCGCTTTGGGATTTTAACAAAGCCTTGAACATCCGCTGGTCTTTCTCGTCCGCTTTCTTGATGGCTGCTTCTTGTGCCTCCATGAGATTCAGAATGGTAATTTCTGCCTCTTTTCCATCAAGGCTTGCTCTCTTTTTCTTCTCTTTTGGTGGGCAGGGTGAATCCTCTTTCTCATTGGGCTTTTCCCCAACAGCGACTGTTGTTGGATCAGTAGTAGTGACAGTAGCTAACTTGTCACTGTCCCTACTCAGAATTTGTCGCGGAATCCTGTGGCCTCACTTGAATTACTCTTGTCTCCTTGACAAATTTCGGGTTTACTTTGTCGGACCCTGACATGAACTCATCGATCTCATCGTAAAACTCAAAGGTCTTACGGTCCCTTCCTGTCTTGTTGCTATCTTTGACGGCTTTGTATTTGTCGAACAAAGAGTGCCATTTCTCTTTAATCTGGGCTAGTGTTTTCTCTGATTCTATGCCCGCGTCGCAGCAGAAACTAACAAAATCTGCCATAATTGAATCCCATACGCTTTTCTTGCCATGGCTACTCTTTGTGGACCTTAAACGATCATAATTTGCCCGGTAGGCTGCAGTCAAGCTTCGTGTTTCTGCATATTCCCAGCTTGTACGCCTGCTCATTTCTGTGACACCCTTCTCACCAGATAAGTCAGCTCGAGAACTGCTGATTGGGCTACAAGATCGCGGAGCCTCCTGAGGAACGCACTGGTAAGGTATTCTTGGGTTGCTAGTTAAATAATACGGATACGGAGAGTACGCTCCTGGTTGATTTTGATAACTCTCTTGCTCTTGACTTCTCTGAAATAAATAACCGTTGTACAACGGTACATCTTCCTCACCATCGTCTGATCTAAAGTTGCTGTGAAAAAAAAAAAAAAGAATTACAAAACTATGCCGCACTAAAGGAACTCAGATAATTAGGGTATTTGAGAAAAGACAAGTAAAATATACTCACTTTGGACCTCGAAAGTTTGCCAT